GTGTTGGTTATTGGGGTGGTGTGCCCATACTGTTGGTTATTGGGGTGGTGTGCCCATACTGTGTTGGTTATCGGGGTGGTGTGCCCATACTGTGTTGGTTATTGGGGTGGTGTGCCCATACTGTGTTGGTTATTGGGGTGGTGTGCCCATACTGTTGGTTATTGGGGTAGTGTGCCCATACTGTGTTGGTTATCGGGGTGGTGTGCCCATACTGTGTTGGTTATTGGGGTGGTGTGCCCATACTGTTGGTTATTGGGGTGGTGTGCCCATACTGTGTTGGTTATTGGGGTGGTGTGCCCATACTGTGTTGGTTATCGGGGTGGTGTGCCCATACTGTTGGTTATTGGGGTAGTGTGCCCATACTGTGTTGGTTATCGGGGTGGTGTGCCCATACTGTGTTGGTTATTGGGGTGGTGTGCCCATACTGTTGGTTATTGGGGTGGTGTGCCCATACTGTGTTGGTTATTGGGGTGGTGTGCCCATACTGTGTTGGTTATTGGGGTGGTGTGCCCATACTGTTGGTTATTGGGGTGGTGTGCCCAAACTGTGTTGGTTATTGGGGTGGTGTGCCCATACTGTTGGTTATTGGGGTGGTGTGCCCATACTGTGTTGGTTATTGGGGTGGTGTGCCCATACTGTTGGTTATTGGGGTGGTGTGCCCAAACTGTGTTGGTTATTGGGGTGGTGTGCCCATACTGTGTTGGTTATTGGGGTGGTGTGCCCATACTGTGTTGGTTATCGGGGTGGTGTGCCCATACTGTGTTGGTTATTGGGGTGGTGTGCCCATATTGTGTTGGTTATTGGGGTGGTGTGCCCAAACTGTGTTGGTTATTGGGGTGGTGTGCCCATACTGTTGGTTATCGGGGTGGTGTGCCCATACTGTGTTGGTTATTGGGGTGGTGTGCCCATACTGTGTTGGTTATTGGGGTGGTGTGCCCATACTGTGTTGGTTATTGGGGTGGTGTGCCCATACTGTTGGTTATTGGGGTGGTGTGCCCAAACTGTGTTGGTTATCGGGGTGGTGTGCCCATACTGTGTTGGTTATTGGGGTGGTGTGCCCAAACTGTTGGTTATTGGGGTGGTGTGCCCTTACTGTGTTGGTTATTGGGGTGGTGTGCCCATACTGTTGGTTATTGGGGTGGTGTGCCCATACTGTTGGTTATTGGGGTGGTGTGCCCATACTGTGTTGGTTATTGGGGTGGTGTGCCCATACTGTTGGTTATTGGGGTGGTGTGCCCATACTGTTGGTTATTGGGGTGGTGTGCCCATACTGTGTTGGTTATTGGGGTGGTGTGCCCAAACTGTTGGTTATTGGGATGGTGTGCCCATACTGTGTTGGTTATTGGGGTGGTGTGCCCAAACTGTGTTGGTTATTGGGGTAGTGTGCCCATACTGTTGGTTATTGGGGTAGTGTGCCCATACTGTGTTGGTTATCGGGGTGGTGTGCCCATACTGTGTTGGTTATTGGGGTGGTGTGCCCATACTGTGTTGGTTATTGGGGTGGTGTGCCCATACTGTGTTGGTTATTGGGGTGGTTTGCCCATACTGTGTTGGTTACTGGGGTGGTGTGCCCATACTGTGTTGGTTATTGGGGTGGTGTGCCCATACTGTGTTGGTTATCGGGGTGGTGTGCCCATACTGTGTTGGTTACTGGGGTGGTGTGCCCATACTGTGTTGGTTATTGGGGTGGTGTGCCCATACTGTGTTGGTTATTGGGGTGGTGTGCCCATGCTGTGTTGGTTATTGGGGTGGTGTGCCCATACTGTGTTGGTTACTGGGGTGGTGTGCCCATACTGTTGGTTATTGGGGTGGTGTGCCCATATTGTGTTGGTTATTAGGGTGGTGTGCCCATACTGTGTTGGTTATTGGGGTGGTGTGCCCATACTGTTGGTTATCGGGGTGGTGTGCCCATACTGTGTTGGTTATTGGGGTGGTGTGCCCATACTGTGTTGGTTATCGGGGTGGTGTGCCCATACTTCACGTTGGTCTGTCCAGCGGTCGACATTCCACATTCCTGTGCCGAATGCGAGTATACTAATGACAACCACTTGTAACTTTTCCCCAATGGTTCAGATGTCACACGTCACTTATGTTAGGCTTAACCATTATATTGCTCAAGACACTGGACTATGCCTCATTGTACGATGATCAGTATAAAGTGAATCTGCCCGAGCCAACTTACGCTATCACGGATTTATGTTTGTGACATATATTCGTGTAACAGACGTTCTATTTGGATTTATATTTGCATCATTGCTGTACGATATTTTAGTTGTTTAGTTTTTCATGTTCACAGGCGGTCTCGAGTTCTCACCTGGTTAAACTCATGCTGCATGCACAATACATTGTTTACCCTTTCAACTGATACACGAATAGATGCTGCCATGATGTCATTGTTAACACACTGGAATTGTAAGTCATTGGTCTCTGGTCCGGCTCAATATCCCGGCGTAACAGTCAACACATGATTTAAAGCTTTCGTGACTGCAGGGATTCATGTTCTTGGTTCTTTCGGTAAAGTCACGTAGAAGGAAAATAATAAGAATATAGTTAAAACATGCTCAAGTTTCTTAATTCCACCACCTTTCCCCACAGATCAGTATAAATGGTGACACCGTTGTCGATCTGTGGTGGGGCAAAGTGTGAGGACTTGCACCTCTTCCAAGACGTCTGGCCAGTGTGGAAGAGTAGGCCAAATACCCTCCAGAGAGGCCCTCAAGACCGAGCTCTCGGCCTTTCCGCCAGCAGTGGGAAGCGCAAGATGTTGCAGGGCTGTGCCTTTAACCTCATGAGCAAATCGACACTGGCATTGAAAAAAAGACAACCAACTTGTTATTGATTCATACTATTGCATTTTATTTGGTAAATTATTTATGCAAAGTTTTAAGAAATGTTACAAGCTGTGTTAATTCACAAATATTTAGATTAATCGTAATGGACACCAGTATGAATGCTTTAATTGCTCATTCACACGCTCTCCAATCAATACAGTATAGTGTAACTCTGTAACAATTATAGTTTTACATTGCATAGTAACTCTATCGCATACTCTATACATATAATTTCTATGATTTTTTTGCTTTAACATAAATCTGTATTTGCGTTATACGAAACAGGGACACACGGTGACAGAAGAGATGGTGCCGTGTCCAGTGTCTAAACAGTACTGGTTAGTGTTGCCAGATATGAAAAAGCATAGCTTGTGAAGCAGTGGGCCCCAACCTATCTGGACCTCGAGACCACCGCCAGCCCTAAAGAGATATCCACAGACCACCACGCAGTAGAAATGTTCTGAGAACAAAATCTGAAACAAGTGCACTTCACATCTTCCACAGCCGAGGGCCCACGGTGGCCTGCGGAACCACAAATTGTGGACGACTACTTTCTACAGTACCATGGACACAACTTCCAGGTCTTCCAAAATACAATAATTGCTACCAGAGGTGTACAGATAATAACGATTCGATTCAAGGATAGGTTATTTCAACATTGTGGTGAATGTAGCAGCCACTAGTGGCTGCAAGGGGTCACTTGCAGCCGTTACATAAGCTGTGCACGAACAGGATATTCTTGCAGAAGGCAGAAGCCCTGAATCATCAAAATTGAGGTCCACGTCAAGAAGACACCGCTACAACTTCTTAACACCGTGTAACCCTTTAGGTATAGAGGTGGAACATGCTATCTGGCAACACCAGTGCCTCCGATCAATGTCGTTATACATCTCCAGACACTGGACACGTGAAGGGGAACTGAAGCAAGTCGTACACAGGATAGGATCTGGTCTAAGGTGGCAGTTGTTTAGGTGACACTGGCGTCTTGTGGTCGGTCCGAACTGCACCCACACTGAAGATAGCTCTAACAGCATACGAACAGTTTTTAGTGGTCTCATCCCCACACAATCGATTCACACTCTCCAATAACAGCGCGTCTACAACAGAGGGCAACTGTGAGTTAAGGCTCAGAGATAAAGCATCGTGCAGCCCAGTATGCGAGCTGCGCCAGTGTGTGGTCACATTGCATGATCCATGTGTGGGGGTCGTAGCAGTCCATGAAAATTACGTCTGCTCATCAGAAAATCACCCGGATGGATTTCTCTCAGTGGGTTTACCGGATTTCATGGGTTTGTATAAAGCACAAATGCCGACCTGAACTAAGAGCAAGACCACTGTTGTAGACAATAACAGTAACTCCTAACATTGAGGGAAAGACAGTTTGCTCTTCCACATTTAACCAGTAAGTGTGGTGCTCATCATTTTATTTGCTTTAACTTCCACAAGTGAAGAGACATATTGGTTTATACATACATGCACACACTGAACAGTTTTTTTTTACAGTTCAATTAACATTACAATCATGTGTTCAATAATGCAATTTAATAATGAAGCAAACATCTCACTATGAGATTCATTAAGAAATTTTGACCTTGATATCAGAAAACACGTTTTTCCTTGCTTAGGTAATCTATATGCAAATTGATATGACATGGGTTTATCAAATATGCGTGTAACGTAATGGGGAGTTAATTACAAACGATGACAGATGCTCGATGGACATTCTTCACAGCTCCAGCCTGGTCTCGCTCTGGCTTCTTTTGCCGTGCAGTGGTGAGCAATAATTTGCACAAGTCGCTGCTTTTCTGGATGTATCAGGATTACCTTTTCGAGCCTGCCATCCATGCCACGTCATGTACTCGTACACTGTGTATGGGATGGTCGTTACAAATATTGAGAACAAGACATTAAAAGGCAATTTGGTGCCTGCTACTGTTAGCCCTAGCACCAATTCACATATTATATTATCATGAGATAGTGTGGTACATTTAAATGGGGTTTCATATAACATCAATAGTGTGACAGTTGGAATATCATGTTCTTATTAGGTTTTGCCCAGCTCTTGATTATGTATATGTACTTTACTATATATAAGAGTATAGAATTATAGATTTGAAGTCCATTTTGAATGCCATAAAATAGGGCTAAGGTCATTGCCATGGCAAAAGGTATTTGAAATGAAAGCTTTTATTCCGGTGGAATTCATTTTATATTTTGAGTGTTAAAATATTTAAACACAGAACCGTCATGATCTATAACAGATTTTTTTTTGGTCTGATCGCGTGAGTCCAGTGCCAATGTGTGTCATACAACTCCCACCTGACACAGCAGAATGCAGTCGTCATCCTGTGTTGGGTGGAGCAGGGTGTATGACACATTTTGGCATTGTACTCACAATGTTACCAAACAAAACAATTAGTCGCAAAAGCCTCTCCATGTTAGAATTTACCAACCTCTATAGGGAGGATGTGTTTCTCAAACCTGATGTTGCTGGATATAATTGCCAGTGAAACGTCGTACCTATTTGTTCAATTTTGTGGATTGCTCTTCAACATACTGGTGGTGTGCTGAAGCTAGAAAATGGCAGGCTTGTCCACGTGACTTTATTTATTGGCCAATGTCGGGTGGAGGAGGGTGTATAACACACATTGCCATTATACGCGCACGATCTGAACCAAAATATCAATAATGAATGATAACATTGGTCGCAAAAGCCTATGTGTAATACAGGACAGTCACCTCTCGATTATCCAGGGTAATAGGGGGAAGGGAAAGGCTGCATGACATAAAAACATGCATAATATAAATTGAATGCAAAAAAGGCCATTAACAAAAATCTATTGTTTACTTGTGTAGAATTAGTGTGAAAACACTTGTTTTCATCGTGTTTTTTTTATTGTTAACTGAGCCACGAGTCATCTGCAGCGAATACTATAAACTTAATTTGTTTAAAAGGCGTGAATGAGTGTGTGATGTACGATATTGTTACACTTTCCCATTGATAATCCACAAACCTGGATTTTATGCCCATGAATGACCGAGAGTTAACTGTACTTGTCTATTTGGAACAAATTCAGACAGAGACCACAGAGTTCAGGCATAGCACTGCTTTGCTTCCAAAAGCGATTACATTTCCACTCGAGGCAACGCCCCTACCACCATTAATAGAGAAAATACTACTTGAGTCTCCATTGAGAGGAAACTAAAGCATACGAGTATAAAACATTTAATCAGCTAAGTGGTCGATAGGAAAACACTCGGTGGATTTAAAGCAGATGCAGCTGAATTTGGAGGCAGGTTGCCAACAGAACCAGAATATGTATTTAGACTGGAAGAATCCGATGAGCTATGTAGCTCTTTTCACAGTTGTCTATGTTAAGGGACTTGTACAAGTGACCAGTGCAAGCAAGAGCAGCTCCAATCCGGTGGCCTATAGAGGTATGATTTTGATGATAGCCTCACACGAGCCTGGTTTGAAGTGCCTTGCAGCTGCGGTGTGTTCCGTGATCGCGATGTGCAATAGCCAGCCACATATACCACACCATCTCTTTACAGCAGCGGACATACATTGGACCGACCAGCGCGTTTTGAGAACAAGATGCATAAAATCCCCTTGAGTCGACACACTCAGCATTGTATTTTATTTGTAAATACTGTACAGCGGCTCTTAACATAAAGGCACCTTTTCCCATAACATGATTGGTTTATAAAAACAAGATGAATTGAGGCTAGGAATTTGCAGTTGTTGGAGACTTTTAAGTACCAGCTGAAGACTAACCCCTATTTAAAAAGACCTCCTCTTTCGAGTTCTCCAAGTCTTTTTCTCCCAGGTTACCTCTGATTTATTTTCATCCTTTATATGCATGGCGGTGAGATCCATTGTTTAGGTGCACCTTATGCATCCAACTTGTTATTATGAAATATATGCTTAACACTATTTTGTTGGTAGGATTTTTTAGCACCGCATTCTCATAACTGACCACTACGTAAAAACACTAATGATATCACCCCAGCTTGTGAAAATTAATTATTGACTTCATGACATCTGTTCCAAATGTGGCATTGCAAGACAATATCACAGGCAGATTTTGAAAACATCTGGTTTTGGGAAATTCTGAAGTGCATTCGTTTCATCCAGTGTAAATCTGTGAAATAAATGTGACAACTATTTCGACCAGGAATAACATCACATCACAGCAAGATGTTACACGTGGTTTTTATGTAACCTTGCAGAATTATCCAAATTAACGTTTGTTGAAATCAGTGGTTTTACACTGGTAAAAGCAAATTTTGTTCACTCTTGTGTTCAGTATAGTGCACATTGTTTCAAACCTCTTCCCGATGTGACTCTTAAAACTCATGCACTTATAGTGATGTGTTCACCGAGACACCATGAAGAAACCTTTACCCTGTGCTGCAGAGTAGTTTAGTAGTAACATCAAAAAGAGTCGTTATGACATCACAACATTGACAATACTCTTTGGGTCTCTTGGTAAAGTCACGTAGGTAGACAAAATAAATAGATGACGACGTTTCGATCGCAACACAAGCGACCGTCTTCAGGTGAGAGAAAGCTGCTGAGACGAGGCCTTGTGTAGGCCTGAGATGGTGCAGCCTCAGGGTGAGAGGGCGGGGCTAGAGATGGTCTCCCTGAGGCTGTGGAAGTGGCTGTTGTACTGTGAGAGATTAGCATGTCAATGTACGAGCTTGGTATGTCGCAGCATCGGTGACTGAGCGAGAAGGACATCCAGCCTGTCAATACAAAGACATACAACATAATAATGCAACTCAGAGAGTTGCATTATTATCTATCTACGCGATATACTAGGCAAGTCACCGATGCTGCGACATACCAAGCTCGTACATTGCCATGCTGATCTCTCACAGTACAACAGCCACTTCCCACAGCCTCAAAGAGACCATCTCTAGCTCCGCCCTCTCACCCTGAGGCTGCACCATCTCAGGCCTACACAAGGCCTCGTCTCAGCAGATTTCTCTCTCTCACTTGAAGACGGTCGCTTGTGTTGTGATCGAAACGTCGTCATCTATTTGTTTTGTCTACCTACGTGACTTTACCGAAAGAACCAAAGAGTATGAATTCCTGCAGTCACTAAAGCTTCAAATCATTGACAATACTGTATAGAGAGGCAAGGAGGATAGACCAGCGCTCTTACCTCGTGTGACAACATCACAGAGAACGGTGATGTGGGACACGCATTCACTACAGTGCACGATTAGGCATAAGAGTGGATTACGAGACAATTCCAGCACTCTTGGCCCTTGTCAAGTTACCAATGAACAAACACATGCAATACACATTGCCCGATGCGTACGCCAACTCACAGTTGGCTCTGCATGTGAATGTTGAAGACTGGTAGATGTAAAACACTGGTGGGCTATACAAACTGGGGTCAAACACCTGGTGTCATATATGTTTTGAGGATGACAGTTAATCTGGCTACACCAAGTACCAGCAATTGAAATGAAAAATGCCGTTCATTGGGCACTGAGTACACACGTTTTAACATAGCATTGTGTTTTTTACTCCTTTCATATGTAGGCTTTGCACTTCTATGAGCCATGAAAACTGGATAAAATTAAACATTTCAAAACTAATTAAGCTGTCAGAAAAGCAACATTGAGCCCTTCCAGATAAAACTACGTTCCATCCAAATGTAATTTCCAAAGGCTCAAGAGGAACTGTATGCCAACCACTACTTTGGCGTGTCACATTACACACCAATATATTAGTCATTAAAGAAAAAGTAATTACAAATTAAAAGCTTGACTATTAACAATGGGACTTGATCAATGCTTAATTGCCCCTTTAAAAAAATTAGCATGATTACATTTCAGCATTTAGAATTTATAGCAATTTTTTTCAACTGGTGAATGCAGGCATTTGGTCATCTTGGTTACTTGACTATATTGAAGCAAGCTGATCAGTGTGGGTTGGTAGCAGAGGGGGCAAGGATTGGTTTAGATATCACTCGCTATGATGTTAACCGTGGCTGGAACTCAAATCCAACTCTTGTCACCAATTTTCATCGCACAAAGTGCAGAGCAGCGGTGGATTTGTTAGCATACCGTGCTCTGAAGCCAGCGATCCGAGTTTTAATTCGAGCCATGGCAAAATTCAGTAGCCAGCGACATCTCATACAGTCCTAGCCCTGTCCCTTGACCGACTCATAGTGCCCTACATGTTGAAGCCTCGTCAGATAAATCCATGACTGACGTCACATGAGGCCGTCTTGATCCAGCAGTGGATATAAAATAAAGCTCTAAATTATAATCCATAATTAGCACCGTTTATATTTTAATTGAAATGTTCTAATTATGTCCTTTAGCGGAATAACATATTGTGCTGTGAGATAGGTACATTCATTACTTTAATTGTAATACCCATCAAGTATTGAAATTTTTAAAGTTTTTTTGGAAAACTGAATGCTTCTGCTAAACTAAGGTGTGACTGACCAGTGCACGATTAGGCATAAGCTAAGGTGTGACTGACCAAACATGAGATTCTGAGATGTTTTGCTCAATGCAATTGTTTAGGGATGGATGAAATATGGATCAGAAACTTAGAGGCCTTCATCTATCAGCGGATAAGATTATGGCTGTTAACTAGAAATAATAAAACAAAAGGCGAACTAAAATGACGCAAAAATATGAATTCGTGAAAGTATCTTCTCCGACAGGCAAAGACTCCAGTTTTCGATATGAAATCTTGAGGTTTTCAAATGGCAGATGTTTGCAAGCAGAAACATCATGGGACCTCCTTTGCCAGTACCAAAACGTGAGAATAGGTTTTCCCCCTTTTTTTATGGCAACAAAACAGGTGTTAAGATGTTAAAACACCAAACTGAAACCTTTACCAAGGAATCATGTCTGCATTAACCACAATACTTGTGGTCAGAATGCAAACAAAAAACACACTCTGATAATAAATGCATTGTTTTATAAACTGATTGGTCCACACCAGAGACAGCTTTCTTTTGAGCCTCGTCTCAAACGGTGTTAGACCAGAGGACGTCAAAAGGCGTCCTTAGAGTACGTTTGTTTGCTGCATTCTGACCACAAGTATTGTGGTTAATGCAGACATGATTCCTTGTAAAAGGTTTCAGTTTGGTGTTTTAACATCTTAACACCTGTTTTGTTGCCAGAAAAAAGGGGAAACTTATTTTCATAAGCAGAAACATCACACACAAAATAATCATACATTGATAGTGAAGAAGGGAGTTTGCTGGAATTCCATTGGTCACACCTTAAACTGAGTTTGGCAGAATAAGCATGTCCTGTGACAGATCGATTGGATGGGTTTATCAGCACTGCAGTCAAGAGACCAAGCTCGAATGGCTATGCAGTCTTCTCTACATGAAGGTTCTAACACGGATGTCACCAAGTCCGACTCCAGTTAGCAAGCGACTCTTTGTTGTCCGCACCCATTCCTCTCTGCCTCAAAATTCCAACCCAAAAACAATAAAAACCATACACAAAACATAATGTATCACCCATATGAAAGGGATTTGAGTTTATAATCAGGTACTATGTATATTCATGCATTCTGTACACATAACATCGTTTACAGACACTCTTACGGTTAGGACTTGCGCATGACCTGGATGTGCAGTTCAATTTTGCAAATCGGACAACAGGGACAACACATTAATGGATAGCAACAAATTCGGTATACTGGGCATGAAGTTTAATTTCTACAAATTGAATTTGAATACAGGCATGGCTTTTTGTACAAGACCAAATGAAAACGGCAAATAATCAGGACATGCGCAAGTTGTCGACAAATCCATTCACGTACACAAAGGTAACTTAACAAGATTAAAAAGAAACCTCTCTAATTAGAGGATTTTCAAACAAAGCATTAAAGAAAATCCATGTTGTACTCCACCGCCCTGTGTCAAATGGAACATTCCAAGCATTGTCAACCCAGTGCACACTAAAGTCACGGAGAGATTGCAAGCCTTTGAATATACCATTGTCCCCTAAGGGAGGAGACAAATAATGTGGATTTCCAACCAGATGTGGGTACAAATATGATAAAAGAAAAAAAACTTTATAGTATTTTTTTACGTCACATTTGAAGTTCACAGTTTTTTTTTCATAATATGCAAAACACCTGTCGGGTCATTGTTTAAAAATAGATATGCTAGCAACAATGGTACACGACAAGCTGTGATTTTGCACATCCACACTCACATTCCGCTGTTTCAGTCGGATTTCTTCACCTCCTGGTTCCCATAGTTGGATCCTCTATCGATCTCCGTGACCCGTATCAGACGACGCACACCCAAGGAAGCTGCAAAAGTAAACACAAGTCAGTCACCCTGTCATCGCCACCACGACTGCCCCACAAGAATAATAATACATGCAAAAATTTGACTAGAAGATCTGTCCTACTATGATGCCTTGTATGTCACAAGACGTAACCATACTGCACGAACAATGGACAACCGTTTTGATTTAGAACACCAACATTCACAATCGTGGCCATATCTTAGACACCAACAAAACAATAAGACATCTGAATAGTGGTTTAATCTTTGTTATGAATTATCATGAGCCAATATAAATTACATTTCATATGAAGTGGTGTTGTTTTTGGAGATTACCCTTTAGAAAATCGGCCACACTGATTAAAGGGCTGAGCAGAAACTCGTAGGCACAATGTGATGCTATTTGCAAATATGGAAACGTGTCTTGTTCTGACAGCTATCCATCGGTTTTCATACTGCTAATCAACACGTGAGGACAAACGCAAGTTGAAAGGAATTACAGAACCCACGCACACGTTTCTTTCATTACAACTTTGTACGCGTTTTGTTACCGGCGGTGAGGGCGATGAGCAGCGCGGTGATGGCGAGGGCGGATCCGCTCGTCAGGATGTTCCACGCGAGGCAGCCCAGGGGATAGAGCAGCAGCGTGGCCCAGAAGAGCCAGTTGAGCACGGCCCAAGGCCGCTTGTTGGGCTTGACGCACTCGCCCGGGAAAACGCCCGTCTTGCTGTACTCCTCCTGCAGCGCGTCCTGCGTGACACGTCGAGCATGGATGGAGAAGAACATTGAGCGACACACACATCGAGACGATTGTCAAGAAGAGCGAGACACGATTAAATGATCGATATATTATATACATTTAAATAAGCACCTAATTACACAATCACGCAATTGCACATTCATTAAAATCAGAACCCTTATTTATAAACAGATGTCCAGTAAGGGCGGGTTAGAAAGTTACAATAACAAAAATACGATAAGAGCGCAAATGATAGAAAAGGTAAGCAAATAAAATATTTTTTACTTTATTCAAGTCAAGTCGACTTCTCCTTCAGAAGTGACCTGGCCACAAATGATAGCTCAACAAAGTGGCTTATGTGGAAATGTATAGCAACCAAGTATAAATAATCAATTTGGCGATCATGGTTACAAATGCCTGTCTGCCTCATTCCTTACTCATTCGTTTTTGTTTTATCTCTAATTTGTAAAAGTATTATCAATGCAATCCCATACATCAATTCACCAATTTCCCCACTCTAAAGCTATGTATGAAGACATTTTCTGTGAATTCTTGGGTCCCCAATGTTGTCTCGTGTAGAGCATTAGCCTCAACTTTACTTCGCATATAGTATTTGGCTATGGTGTCTTTTCTCCCATGGTGTGGTTAACACAACTCACACACCAGTAAGTTGAAAATGTATTTCTAATGTATTTTTACTGAAATGAGGTATAGTTTACATGCTTAAAACTTATATATTTTTTTGGCATTTCCTCTAACTTTATTCCCAGAGTAAAACAATGAAGTTAATCTGTCTGAAGAAAATGTTTACAAAAAAACGTATGACCTGGTAACATCGCACGTGTACTGTGTGTCTCGGATAACAACGATTCACCCTCACCACTGGGCGGCGCCGGTGATCATGGCATTCTGTCGTCCGCAGGTAAAAACGTTCAAAACCGGCTTTGTAAAAACTCGTGCTGGGATTAGCAAACTTTGAATATATTAACAATACAACTTGTCATCTGTGCATGTAAAAGGGGTCATTGTACACTTTTAAAATCTGTAAAATGTTCGTAAATCTCTTTTAAAAGATGTGTCAATTACACTGCCTTTAAAGAAAAAAATCTGCGACTTTTTAGGCAAAAGTCCTTCACACTAACGAATGTGTTCAATATTTTGTGTTAATAGTTGCCAAGGCAGCATCACCAACTAATATGTTTGAATATTTTAACGAGCTCTTTCTGGCAGTGGGGCGTAAACGCTGTTTACACTTTTGAAAAAAGATGTCGGTAACGTTCAACGATGATGACAACAGGAGTGGAGAGCGATAATTGGTTGTTTACCCTTCTATCTGGCAACAAAACTGACACCTTTTTACAAGGAGTCATGTTTGCATAGACCGCAATACCTGCAGTCATAATAAAAACAACAGAACATAACTCTCGGGTGTGGACCAATCAACTTCAAGGACAGTGCACATTATGAGAGTTATGTTCTTTTGTTTGTATTATGACTGCAGGTATTGCGGTCTATGCAAACATGACTCCTTGTAAAAAGGTGTCAGTTTTGTTGCCAGATAGAAGGGTAAACAACCAATTATCATATTTTTACTGGCAAATGAGGTTCCCATAGTGTAGATGCTTACCCGAGCTCTCATACTCTGATGGTGCATTGTCTTTGAGTTGTGCGCCTTTTGGCGTCATCTAGTCCAACCCATGTGAGACTAGGCTCTAAAGAAAGCTGTCTCGGGTGTGGACCAATCAACTTCAAGGACAGTGCACATTATCAGAGTTATGTTCTTTTGTTTGTATTATGACTGCAGGTATTGCGGTCTATGCAAACATGACTCCTTGTAAAAAGGTGTCAGTTTTGTTGCCAGATAGAAGGGTAAACAACCAATTATCATATTTTTACTGGCAAATGAGGTTCCCATAGTAATAGAGGAGTGGAGAGCCTTGACGAAGACCCCCACCATGTGGGGGGCAAAAACGTGCTTAGGAGGCGGCCGCCTCACCTTCTCCTGGTAGAGGTTGTAGAGCCACATGGCACACTCTTTCTCATCTTCAGGCAGATCCTTCAGAGGAAACCTCCTGCACACGCGACACACAGTGGGGGAAGACACGTCGTCATTGGGCTTGAACACAAGCTGCGTGAATGGCATCACCACGATTACAATCATATCACACTGTCGCGAGCGCGCTTTGGTTTTGGACGTCCCATTGGCAAAGTCGTCATCAAAATGTATCGGCATGAACATTTCATAATAAAAAAAATAACAATCATCGTTATCCATCTGACACGTTCCGCCTTGTGGCAGTTGGGTTAAAAGGGGTTTCATTTCAGATGAGCACAGCAGCACATACTGATGTCAGCACATATTCCAGCAAGCGTAAGACAGTTTCACAATGAATTGATGTCGCTTCAGTAGCATGATGTACTGCACCATTTTCTCTGAATTCAAAGGGAAAGGTAATTTTCACAAAAATCCATGTCAATGAGAACACTGTTTTGTACTTTATGATTTGTCTCATATGTGCTATGTAGTCTCGTTCAACTATTTTTCCAATGGAAATGTTTAGTATATTTATATGAATTGACACGCCAATTCTAACACACATGATTAAATGCATTTATTCTGAGCATAAATTCTGTTTTAGCCAACGAATGACCCAACTTTCCAGATTTTCCATTTCAAAAGGCAAATGCAAATTAATTTAATTCAACGGATGAATGCACGGAATTAAGAAACAGATAGAGGAATTATGATAGGACGGGAACTCGTAAAAACACTTGAAACACTGCACCCATTCGCTTACACACAGAACAACTGACATCATCTCCGTAAATATAAATTCAAATTCCTATAAATTGTAATCCTTAACTTGTAACATGTCTCGGTCATAGTGATAGGTCAGCGTGCTCTAGCAGCCCACTGATGGCCGACTTCCAACTGTGTCCGTCTCTGGCTTTAGCCAATCCGTGTCTGGGAGTCTCCCAGTTACAGTAGCAATGTTCCAGCCCAGTAGTTCCCAACCTTTCTGGACCTGCAGACCACTGTCAAACATTTTACACAATAAACTATGTTTATTTTACCAACCAAGGCCCACTGAGCTACACAGCTATTTTTAAGAAACGACCTGGCCACAAATGATAGCTCAATGAAGTGGTTTATGTGGAAATTTATCGCAGCCAAATACTCTAAAGGGATGTTTTTAGATATGGAAGGAAAAACTGGATGACCGGAGGGAAAAACTGGATGACCCGGAGGAAAATCCACGTGACCACGGGGAGAAAATACCAACTCCAAATATACAGCAGCAGGCGTCGGGGTCAGGATAGAACCCACGACCTCCTGCATACCAGGCGAAGGAGTTAAGATCTCGCCACCGCGAGATTGTACCAACTGCAGCAGTTCCACGAGCCACTTCCCACAACCTTGTGGGCCACCAGTCGTTTGTAGACGACAGGTTGGTTACCAATGTTGTAGCCTATTCACATTTGTGAGTATGATTCCCAGATCCAGTTAATCTTGTTTAATGGTATCGACCACCCATTGTTTACTCGAATAACCTCTAGTGCTTGTTTCACTAATGTGGCTGTACAGGAGGAAGTTGGGACAATTGTCTTTTTCCATCCGAATAATAATTTCCTTAAAATAAAGTCTACCATGTCCCTTTCCATTCCTGGTTCCAATATAACTTATCTGACCTATCTTGGTGAATTTAATTATCTTGCTCACCATACACAAACGATCAGGCTAGTGTTTAGGAGGTTAAAAGTCGTAATATGCTTTTATTTTAATGTATTATTTTATCTTTAGACGTGACTTAACCGAAAGAACCAAAGAATAATTCCTGCAGTCACGAAAGCTCCATAATTAAGATTGAACCACTTCTACGGGGAAGTTTTAAGCTTATCCTTTTTTCTCTCTCTGGCTATTTGTTCTCTCTGCCTGTGTCCTCTCTTTGGAAGTTTCACACTTAAATTCTAACTTAGCAATCTTTGAGATACGTAATCAACCAGGCTATGCGTTAATTGTGTGTTGACCGACTCTCTGTGTTGTATTACATCACATTTCGATATTTTGCGAGGTTATTTAATTTTAGTGTGCCTTTCTCCTAATTTACAAGCTTGCGTGCCGTGCCACGTCGGCATCTTACTCGCGCAGCAGCAGCACTTTACCGTCCACTCATGGATATGCTAATTTTCTCTGCCCCCTCCCTCTCTCCGTCCCTGCCCCCCTCTCTATATTTAAGGAACCGTCACAGAAACGACCCCTCTCTTTGTGCCGATATGTGTCCTCTCTCTGTGTGTCCTTGTGATGTCTGTCTGCCTGTATGTCTGTCTATAGTTTTCTAGTTAGATTTTTGTTGCTATTTCTTTTTTTGCCTGATGATGATTGCTTGTGTTGCAATCGAAACGTCGTAATATGCTTTTATTTTAATTTATTATTTTATCTTTAGACGTGACTTAACCGAAAGAACCAAAGAATAATTCCTGCAGTCACGAAAGCTCCATAATTAAGATCAAATGATCTCCCTGGTTATAACGAGCATATCTTGATGAGTGGCTAGAAATGTTTCATTACTGTAACGGGTGCCATCTCTCTGGCACAGGCGCAAATTATGACCTGCCCCGACTGGACATTGGTGACAAAACGCTTTAAAGCTGACCATATTCCTCCAGTATAAATGCATATTCTGATTCTGAAATTCCAGACAATGGATAAAAAAAATCCATCGTCCACCGTGGAGGGTTATGAGCACTGGAGTGTGAAACGCACTGGACTAGAAGCTGCCCTCCCTCGTACCTGACACACATGTCGGCTTGGTACGTCTTGCCGTAAAGGATCCCCAGCAGAGATGGGTTCTTGTTGTCCTTGAAGTTGAGGGTTACGTCGTACACGGCTCCGGCTGCAACACAAAAACCGGGCACATGCAAAGATGGGTTGGAGGTGGACCAGGACCTCCCCATGCTGTGTGGGTCTTAGGTTACTTTGACCATTACGTTTGTTTTGTTTAACCACATGAGATCGTTTAGATTATTTGATTGCTAGAAATGTCCACGTGATAAGCCTCTTCGTTGCGCTATCATTGTGACCAGGTCGCTTTTAGGCTTTACATGGTAAAATAAAAGTTGAGTTTATGGATATATTTTTTAGTGATTTGCTTACCTTTCCTATACTTTGCACTCCTATTGTGTTTTTAGATTGTTTTTTTTGTACCGTTCTGACCCCGTGTCCCTACTGGACATCTGTGAAGATGTATAGCTCATCGGATTGCTCCAGTGTGAATACAAATTCTGATCCTGACCTGAGGAATGAATCTGACAGCAAGAGGGTGATGGTTGCTGTGTATAAACCCAAATTGAATAATTTGAATTTGACAAAGTTGGACCCTGACGCCTGCACACCAGGGCCTACTATTGTGAATGACATCAGGGGGATCTTTAACGTCCATTGTGATGCAGATGACACGCATTGTTATTCCACACCATGGTAATAATCAGGGCGGCTGCTGAATTTAAACCATACATACATGTCATTGTCATGGTAAAGTAAAATGATACTCTACCATGCTTTGAGACATTTGTGGCAGTCAAATGTATATTTAGGCCTTAGAGCTGGAAATGTGCTACTTTAAAAGAAAACTAAATGAAATAAGTTGTTTTGTGCACTCACCGATTCCCAGGCTGAATGCATCCACTCAATACACTTGAGAACCCTGGACTAGCAACAGATGGCTGCCTGGATTCCAACTCCAGATGCCTCCCGTGGCAGCTCAGTGCTGACACATTAGTAGCTGCCTGGGGCATCTGGCCACCTTGTGCGAGAGACTCTTCAAGCTGAAGGTCCGACTAATCAGAGAGCTCCCCACTGGGGGCCACTTCAACCAGTCAATATTGGATGAAAGTCCCCCCACACAATGTTAGTCATTGGGCTTGTTTGACTATACCGAAAGAACCAAGAAGATGAATCCCTGCAGTCACGAAAGCTTTAAATCGAAATTTGTTTGACTGTACTTCACCGCACTTGTCAATGGACGTTGCTGAGGGAAGCGCGGCCAGCTTTGCCGGAAATCGAACCCAAGTTCTAGGGTTCATAGCGTAGCAATCTAACCACTGCGCCACCACTCCACTCCTCCCTAATACATACGTTTTTATAAAGTTCTGGGGTTCATAGCGTAGCAATCTAACCACTGCGCCACCACTCTACTCCTCCCTAATACATACATTTTATAAAGTATCAAAGCATGCGATATTCTGTACAATAGACACTAAAGACCTTGTGACATTGGTTTATATGCTGGCAGAAAAATCAACACATGTAAAAGTTACTTGTAAACATTAGTTATGAAAATGTACGTTCAACTTCTTTCACAGCGTACACATAGCTAACCGTACGCAGCCAAAATCATCTTACTAAATATTCCTGTTTGTATATATGACTATAAGATGACGCTTGCAAAAGAGACAATGAATCTCAGAGGAGGTTGTGGGGGTTCATGGCATTAAATACCACACAGAATCGCTGAACCGCCACCACTGAGGTCCTGGACTCAAATCCGAGTTGCAGTTTCTTGTACTTCAACCAAGCTCCCATGTCGACTGAGTTAATAGTGTAAGCCCGGTCACCAATGACCACACTGCAATGCCCACTCCTTGCAGAGCATATACAAAAAAAGGGATATCGGTAATTATGTGACTATCTTCCTAGGGCAAACACATAGTGGACAACAACTGCTGTCTGTAAAAGATTCAAGTAGAAATATCTTTGTCTCAGGGCATGACACGGATATCCCAAATGGAATAAGATTTAAAATATAACAGGAAGGGGAAATAATAATTAATTAATCTTGGTGGAATGTTGCTCAGTTAAAGAGAACGCGTTTGGTCCTCTTCAGGCCAAGCAGGGGCGAACAAATTTAAGTAGAAAGAGGTTTCTTTAGGTTAGAAAGTCGCACAACTTGTGTATTAAGCATACATAACATCCCTAGCAAAACCACTGTAATTAATATATATTCATAATTCCCAACATATTACACAAATGTATAAAAGTTCAGCCCAACTCAGACGTGATACTGATAAGTGACACGCTAACCACAGTGCAACTGCGGGCTATTCGGTTGCGCCTATTTCAAGATCGTGATCTGCGCAATATTACCCACTGCCCTGCTTTGCCTCTCCTCGAAAAGCTGACTGGTAAAGTCTCAGTGAAGTTTAAACATCCAGACGGTGCGTGCTTATTTAAGACGGTGAGCGAATAATGAGTTAAGTGGCGACAACCCACGTGACTGTGTTAGACTGATGACCATGACTTATAGTCAAAACATCTCATCACGTTCAACATTAGTTGTGGGACCCCTGCAGTGTTGTCAAGGGTTCTCTCATTCCCAGCTGCTGGGCATGGCATGCGCGTTCAGAGGCTTAGAGCACATACAGTGCGGGCAGCGATAAGCAACAGCAAGCTCCCACATCACAGCCACACGCTTCAAGTACAAATCTCTACGCAGTAGCTTGCCTGGTTTAGAGAGATCTCACGTCTCGCAAATGTGACGGGACAATTACACATTTGTGATAGTTCTTACACTCTCACACTCTCCAGCACCTGCAGTCAGGGCTCGATTTAATATGAACAGCACCTTGGATGAACTAACATTTGTGCGTGTCTCGAGGGGTAACCACCGAAGGGGTTTGCTGGTGGTCGATGCTACTCTTGTGTCTGGTTCTGTGTTTCTCAATGCATCTATTTCTGTTTGACGGTGTCTGCTTCCCACTGTCGATATTCATGTTTCTCTGCTGCCCTCAATGTTTGTGCATTTCTCTCTCGTCTCCATCTACGTGTTTTTCTCCATCTCTCTTTCTCTATACAGTACGTCTCTTCGTGTCTCTTTATGTCTCTGTGTTAGTTTTCTTAGTTTCTCTCTGTATCTCTCTGTCTCTATATGTCTGTGTCTCTATCATTGTATTTGTTTCCCTCTCTGTTTCCCATACAGCTTTGCTCCTTGGTTGCTGCCATGATCAGCCGCCCCTTAGGCCGGGTTTTCCTAAAGCAGATAAACTGCTGCTGGGGAATATTAACATAACGCATGCAAATGTTTGGGTACAAAACATAATGAAGTGCAATCCCTTAAACTCACATTGGCAACTTTTCAATTGGCTCTGCTGTCTTCTATCCAATCATAATAATAATATGTATTTATCCAGTAAAGACTTGAGCATTGAGTGTCACGACCCTTTTTCAGAAGTCTGCTGCATTGCGACGTTTGGCGCATTCGTTTTTAAGGAGTGATTTTCATGTGGGAGATACTGGAGCAATTGGAGAAAATTCATACATATGAGAGGATAACACTCAAAGTTCTATACAGATGGATTCACAAAACTCATTATCTGTAATGGCATACTTTGGCCACTTATGGTTCATTGGGTTTGGCATTTTTATAAATTATCATGATCCACCAACCCTTGCATCCAAAGTGTGAGCCACCGACTCTCACAGGGTGATTGGCCAATCTACCACCACCCAGTTGCCAGGATTACACATTGACGCATTCGCTGCTTGGTATTGTGGGAGCTCTGGACTTGGCTCTCTTGAGTTGGGGCCACAGAGGGCCCATTGTGTCCTTCATATAACACGTGACCTTTAATTCTCTGGCTTTACTTTTAATTTTCCTGCCCCCTCTGGAGACATTTATTCTGGATGAATGAAAACATTAATATTATGTATACGAATTAAAAAAACCTTTGGCTACTCAAAAAAACAGTTTTGCATTTTTGAGCAAGGCTATTCAATATTGTTATATTGCAGGAATAAGAGAGTTAATCCTCTTGTATGCATGGGTTGTTTTCCAGACGCTTGTATTTTCTCCCACATTCAAAACGATTAATTATAGAACGTACTATATGAACCTTATGGCAGTACCCCGGCTCTCGCACAATGTCCGTGATGCAGTCATTTTTAGTCTGTTGATGGTCGGCGATGCGGCAATCGACTCATCTCGACGAGCTGTACTCACGATGCACTATTCAAAGTTGAAATTCTCCTGTACAACTGCTAAATGATGGGTGCTTCATCGGTCAGGGAGCTAAGCCAGAACCACTGGGATATGGGGTTTTAATCTAGGTTACAGCCACTTGTAATTTAACTGGTTTCTCAAGTGCATTTGATGGTCTAATCCCAGTCACCAATGACTATATACGTATAAAAAATTGCAGGTAAAATGTTCATTTTCATTTGGCTGAATAGCAGATCTGTCATAAGAAAAATCTCATGGCTGCACCACACCCATACACAAAACACATTAATTTGGTTTTCACTTACTTTGGCTATATTCCAGCATTGAAAGCTTAAACATCTAAAGCTTGAAAATCAGTTCTTTGGTTATTTCGGTAAATTCACGTAGATAGAAAAAAAGAACACAAAATGAATAAAAATATCACGACGTTTCGATCGCAACACAAACGGTCGTCACCAGGCAAAGAAGTCAGCCTCTAAAGGCAAACTGTTTATTTTATTTTCTACCTACGTGACTTTACCGAAAGAACCAAAGAGTATGGATTCCTGCAGTCACGAAAGCTTCAAATCAAGATTGTTTAAAAAGGTTTGGGGATGGGCGTAGCTCAAGTGTATCATCAGCACTAGGAGCATGGGCGGTGATGCCAATGCAGCAGCAATGCCAATGCAGCAACAATGCCAATGCAGCAGCAATGCCAATGCAGCAAAGGGCTGCCAGGAAATCACTGCACCCCGCTCCACACACCACACTGCTGAGGGTGGAGGTTGATTGACAAGAAAGCACAAGTCAAGTAATGACCCAAAGTGGTTGATGAAATCTTTCCAAAGATTGCTGAGTCTAGAACCTTCCTCTCGGTTGAAATTGTGTCTGTGTCTGTATATATGGATGGCTTCATGAAC